TGGGTTTGATTCCTCAGCACCACATAAGCAGAAAAAGCCAGAAGTGGTGCTGTGGCTCAAGTGGTAGAGCGCTAGCCTTGAACTGAAGAATTGAGGGACAGCATCCAGGCCCAGTGTTCAGGCTCCATGACCCGCAAAAAAAAAAAAAGGCTCTTGCTTTTTTGCAATAACTAACTAACTAAATAAATTGTGAATCACTTTAAGAACTTGAGAAACTTGGGGCTGGGAAGGTGGCTCAGTGGTAGAGCGCTTGCCTTGCATGCTCAAGGCCCTGGGTTTGATTTCTCAGCCCCACATAAGCAAAAAGAAAAAAGCCAGAAGTGGCACTGTGGCTCAAGTGGTAGAGTGCTAGCCTTGAGCTGAAGAGTTGAGGGACAGCACCCAGGCCCAGAGTTCAGGCCCCACGACCAGACCAAAAAAAAACAAAAAAAAAACTTGAGAAACTTTCAGATCTGAGCAAATACAGTACTCAGTATTCAAGCTGAAAACAGATTCAAAATTCAAAATTCCATTTGTTTTGTTAGGCAATTATATTAGTTTACCAGAGCCACTGTCTGCTGTCATGAAATACCACAAACTGAGTAGCTTATGTACGACAAATTTATTGTCCTGCTTCTGGAAGCTGGATGTTCAAGATCAAGGTGTCATCAGAGTTAGTTCCTTCTGAGGAAACTGTTAGGGCAGGAGCTGCCCCGGGACGTTCTCCTGGGCTAGTGGACTGGCATCTTTTTGTGTCCCATTGTCTTCCCTCTGTGTTCATATCCAAGTTTCCCTTATTGTTTTTACTCTTTATTTACTTGAGAGGGATGATTGAGAATCTAAGTTGCAAAATATTGTATCCCCCTCCCACATTTTCTGATTAGCATCAGTTAGTTACAAGGTGTTCTTTCTTTTTGTCTGTATATGTGTACAATGTATCTTCAGCCCCGTGCTACTCTCCCTCATTTCCCCTTTCCCTTTTCCCCACCAATCTCAACAAGCTTCATGGATCCATTTGCATGCATGGACATAAAGTTTTCTAACTATATTCCCCCTCCCTCCTTCTACTAGTGCCCACACTTCAACAAGACCTGCTTTGCATGACTGTCATTCTTTTTTGTTTGAGTGTTGGTCTTGGGACTTGAACTAAGGGTCTGGGTGCTGCCCCTGAGGTTTTTGCTCAAGGTTAGCATTCTTCCAATTGAGCCACAGTTCCACTTCTGGTTCTTTTGGTGTTTAATTGGAGATTAGAGTTTCACAGACTCTCCTGCCCAGGCTGACTTTGAAACTTGACCTCAGATCTCAGCTAGTAAGCCATGTGGCCCACCTCCTTTTATTTATTTATTTATTGTATATGTTAATTGTTCAAAGTGTTTTCACTGGTGGTATTCCACACATGCATACACAGTACTTTAATCAAATTGATCCTCACTTATTCTCACTTTCCTTATTCTCCCTACCTCCATTTTTCAACACTTTCAATGAGTTTTATTTTGCCATCTTGTTTACACTTACGCAATGCTTTTGTTATTGTTTACCCTCTAACATTCTCTTTTTCTCAAATCCTTTCCCTCAAACAGTTCTACAATCACAAACATATTCTCTCTCTGTATATGTATATAGGATCTTGTGGTCAAGTATACACATGTGAGAAAAAAATAGGAAATTTGTCTTCAGTCTGGCATATTTTACTTAATATGATAGTCTCAGTTCTATTTCCTTGCAACTGTCATGATTTCATTCTTTTTATAGCTGAATATTCCACTGTGTGTGTGTGTGTGTGTGTGTGTGTGTATCACTTTTTCTTGATCCATTCATCAGTTGCAGGGCATATGGACTATTTCAATAACTTGGCTATTATGAATAGTGTTGAACTGAGCATGGATGTGTAGGTACCTCTATTATAAACTAAGTTACTTTCCTTTGGATAAATGCCCAAGAGTGGTATTGCTGGATTGTATGATAATATTATTTTTAGTTTATTTTTTAATCCACACTGATTTCCCAATAATCTACATTGCATCAACAGTATGTGAGGGTTTTTCTCCCCTTCCCTGCAAATCCTCATAAGCATTCATTTGTTTGTGCTCTAGATGGCCAACCTGACCCGAGTGATGTGAAATCTCAATGTTGTTTTGATTTGTATTTCTTTTATATCCAGGGACTTTGAGTATTGGTTCATGTGTTCACTGGCCATTTGTACTTCTTTCAAGAAGTTAGATTCATTTGTCCATTTATTAATTGGATTGTTGATTCTTTGGGAATTTAGATTTTTGAGCTTCCTGCATAGTCTAGCTACTAATTCTTGGTTAGATGTGTAGCTGGCAATGATCATCTCCCATTTTTAGGCTGTCTCTTCCTCCTAGTGGCTATTTCCTTTGCTGTGCAGAAGCTTTGTAGTTTGATGTGATACCATTTGTCAATTCTTGTTCTTCTTTGTTCAGTATTGGATTTCTGTTCAGGAAGTTACTACTTACATACATGCCAACATATTCCAATGTTTTACCTTATTCTTTCCTGAAGTTTCAGATTTTCAGGTCTTACATCAAGATCCTTGATCCAGTTTGAGTTGATATTAGTACAGGGTGAGCTCTAAGGATCTAGTTTCAACATTAAGCATATGGATATCCAGTTTTCCCAGTACCATTTCTCCAATCTAGGATTTGGGCTCTTTTGTCCAAAAATCAAATAGCTGGCTGGATACCGATGGCTCAAAACTGTAATTCTAGCTACTCAGGAGGCTGAGATCTGAGAATGGAGGTTCAAAGCTAGCCTAAACACATCTGAAACTCTTATTGCCAATTAACCACCAAAAAGCTGGAAGTGGAGGTGTGGCTCAAGTAGTATAGTACCAGCCATGAGGAAAAAAGCTAAGTGAGAACATGAGGCCCTGAGTTCAAGCCCCAGTAGCAGCACAAATAAACAAACAAAAATTAGTGAACACCTAACTACGCACCAGACATTGTTTGACTGCTTGAAATACAGAAGCAAAGAAAATAGACAAAAATACTTGTTTTTACAGCGTTCATTAACTGATAGAGAAAGAAGGACAATTAAAAATGTAGAACACATAAGGCAGAAGGCATGGGTCAAGTGGCAGAGCATCTGTCTAGCAAATGAGTTCAAATCCCAGTACCACCAAAAAAAAAATAAATAAAGAACCCACTGAGGGGTTGAAAGGAAAAAAAAAAACCAACTTGATCCACATTTGAAAAAATTTGGTCTGACTGCCACATTGAGAACTGTAGGTGAAGATTGAAATAGACTGGAGTTAGGAGGCTATCAAAATAATGTCATCTGTTTGAATTCCTTCCTTCCTTCCTTCCCTCCCTCCTTCCATCCTTTCTTCCTTCCTTCCTTTCTTCCCTGAATTCAGGGCAAGTGCTCTACCACTAGCGTCATGTCTAAGCCCATTTTTTATGTTTATTTTTCAGATAGGTTCTCATGTTTTTGTCTGGGCTGGTCTTTGCTTTCAATCCTTTGGATCTTGACCTCCTGAGTAGCTGGGATTACAGACATTTACCACCATGCCCAGTATTAATTTTCTATATGGTCTAGTTTGTTCATTGATTTGGCTGGATGTTAGTTGGGGCCGTGGGGAGGTGGGGGGAAGGGGAGAAGCTGAGAAAGTTGAGCGAATTCTTTTTAGTAAGTTTTTTTTATTGTGAAAATACTGTGCAGAGGGGTTCCAGTTCCATGAGCAAGGTCAGTTGAGCTATGTTTAATTAGAGGAAGAACATGGGCACCTCGAGCTGAAAGAAGCTATGGGAAGTCTGACTTAAAGTGGTCAGTCTCCCTTTCCCTTCAGAGTAATTTTCTTAGTAAACAAGTGCAGACTCTTGAGGCCACTGAGAGAATTTGGAGACATTTCCACTACATCCGCACCTTAATCCCAGCCAGCCCGCCACGAGGTTTAAGGAGCTCAGTACTTGGAAAAGGTGTGCCACAGAAGACAGGGCTAGGGCTTTGTTTTGGTTTTGTGTTTTCTTTCTAGCAACCTAGTACCTGTGCAGGGACACGGGGAGCCCGCAGGCCTGCTGCTGAGATGGAAGTGGGCACCTGTGAAAGAGCTGGTTTAGCACAGTAGGGTGGACACACCAAGCCATCCGCATTCGATTGCCAGCAGGAACAGCGTCGCGGGCGCTAGTCCTTTCTGCCCTGGCCCCATCTCAAAAAGCAGCGGCTCCTGGCCGCTCCGGGCCACCGCGCACCACCCCGAGAGCGGCCGTGGCCCG